GAAACTGTGAGTACAAGCAGATTATCGTTTTTCAAAGTTAGAAGGAAGATAAGGGTTCTCTAAGCTATCACGATATCAAGCCAGTGAGCAAGATAACATCATTACCTGTTGAAGAACTGAGTGAGAAGGAGTACGATCATTACATAATGATAGAAAACATTACATTTAGATCCATCCTGTGTAATCACCATTTCAAAAAAGGTTATCGTCAGGGTTTACATATTTCACTCTTCCTTACACTGGTCAGATGGCTTGAAGATGGTAAAACCTGCGAGCTATTGAAGTGTGGAGGAGATATCTGGTGGAATGTAGAAAGATTAATTAGCCACATGGTCAATAAAGCAATTCCATGCTTTCAGGCTCAATTTCCTCATTGTAGGGCCTCTTTTGAATTTGGTAATGCAAAATTACTCCTTGAGTATGCAGATAAAGTATTACATATTTCAGAAATGTATTTGGAGCCTGATGGAGAAAATGTAAAATGCTTGTGAGATAGATTTACTGTTGATCCCAACCACCTAAATAGTGGCTTTATACAGTATCTTGTACTTTCCAATAAAATACCCAAAGGACTTAAACTTGTTTTGACTGAGTGTGGTCTTTGACCACAAAATCAGGGACAGTTTCTAACACAATGTATTATCTCATCAAGTACAGGGATATCCAACATTCATAATCCTCATTGCTTAGAGGGTAGATACTATTGTGCCCTTGTATCACTGGCTGTACAACCAGACTTCCAAGCTCAGAAAAATCAATTGTTCTAAGTGATTTTAGGTACAGGCCATGCGGTCATTTTTTATCCTGCCTTCTATTTTGAAGTCAATTTTATTGAGTATTACAGTGGGGTAGCAAAGAGGTATACAAGGGTGAATTGTATGTATGACTCTGAGTCTTTAAAATGCCTAAGGCCAAAAGCTTTGGCTGGAGTTTCTGAACAATTAATTTGGAAATACTAACCCCATGTACAGAAGATTATGGACGCCTATCAATCTAATACAGTGTATAGATCAATGGAGTATGAAAGTCTTGTACACAGAAAGTATACTTTACATCATCATGTGGTTGAATGAAACTAGAACTAATATGAAATGATTGATTAATTTCGAAATACCATTCAGTTAGTATTAATTAGAATATACACTAGTACTATATATTTACAATCAGTTTCTTTTTGGAAATCAGTGAATTGGTTGTAAATGATAATACCAAGAGCTACTTAACATAAAGTATATTAGAGACCTGTGGAGGCAAAATTTGCTGCCAGTTACCTCTTACCCTGATTACATAAGGCGTCAAATTTTGCAACACGATTGGTACAGGTTCTAGTTACTTCAAAACCATACTGTAGTTCTTTGCTTTTACTAACTTATCATACCGGGAGATATCATAGATATCATACCTTGTCATACCATACCCGTCATATCACAGTATGCCACTTCCACAGTGGCATACATACAAGTCAATTCATGTGATTGCCTCTCTTCCTGCCTCCCACCCTTTCCATATCATACGCCATCACATCTATACCCGCACCCTCCTCACAAAACCTTATAAAAGGCATTCTCAACCTCCAACATCTACTCCAGTATGCTACCTGTCTATTCGTCTCACGAGTTAGTTTCCTGTGAGGTATCCTGTTCTACCACAGTTGGAATAGGCACCTTGAGCTTGAGCAGCTCATCCCGTACCATGGCTGCATCTTCAGTGGCATATGCCTTTGGAAGCGCTTGGATGGTACAGTAGTTGTAGTCGGCTTAGTTCAAGGTCGGAGAGGGATACAGAGACCCTAGGGTGATTGGCGGTGCACTAGCTACTTTGAACCCATGTTGGCAGGTTGTCAGTCTGAGTGCGATCACTAGAGGGCAGCAGTGCGTGCTGCATAGTACAGTTGTGTCTGGAAAGTTTTCGTATCCTTGAAGTGCAACCCTGTAACACGTTATCACCACAACAACCCTCCTTACCATGGCCTCTCCACATAACGTAAGAGTAAGAGAAGACCTGAATAAGGAAATTTATACTGTGTATAAACATATAGATATGGGATATGACAAAATTTCTAAGTCTTTAGGTGTATCCAAGTCAACTGTTCAGTCTGTGGTAAAAAGAGCTAAATCAAGGGGTTGAAACACTTACTATGCAAAAAGAGGTAGAAGACAAACCAAGATTACCAACAGAAAAAAAAAGGATAGTGGAGTCAGTTATTGATGCTGAGCCTCATTTAGCATTACGCAACATTACCAAAAAAGTGAATATTGGTCTTAGTAAAACCACTATTTATAAGATCATATCAGAAGCTGGTTTTAAGTTTCTGATACCTAGCAAAAAGCCTTTTTGGAGAAAAGGATGAAAGGAGAAAAGAAGGGAGTTTGCTAGAAGGAGGAACTGGAAAGGGGCATAGAATTGGGTTGTTTTTGTGGATGAAGCCACCATTGTTAATGACCCAAATCCAACAGGAAGAAAGGTCAGAGTTAGACCTGATGAAGAGCTAGAAGAAAAAAACTTAAAGCCTAGCTTTAAGTCTAGAAGAACTAGCATTGGAGTATATGCTGCAATGATGAAGGGAGGAAAGACTAAGTTAATTCTGGCGAGAAAGAGGAGGGAGGAGGAAAGGACCAGTAAAAGATACAGACTTGGCCTAAACTCTCACCAATATGCAATGGAAATCCACCAGCCTTACCTTATTCCATTTATAGACGATCTGGATAGACCTTCTAACAATATCTACCTTGCTGCAGACAATGCGTCCTGGCATAGTGGTGAGGAAAATCGAAAATTGGAAGCAGACTGTAGTTACAAAATACTCCCTTGGCCACCCAACTCACCAGATCTCAATCCTATTGAGAACGCATGGGCACTACTCAAAAGAGCCCTTACCAAGCGATTCTCCAGACTGGAAAGAAGGCCTCATAGTGCAGCTAAATTGTTTGAGGCAGCAAAAGAAGAGTGAGATTTAATTCCTTAAGAGAAGCTGGATAGATGGATAGATAGGATGCCTGAGAGAATGCAAGCTGTACTGGATGCAAATGGAGGCCATACAAAATGGTAATAATGTTTTTTTATTGTCTACTAGCAATACTATCATGTTTTCTTTAATTGAATTCTTTACATTTTTTTTGAAATTTTTATGGTTGGGGGTTGTGGTTGTGTGGTTCCCATGCGAGGGTACGAAAACTTTCCGGACACGACTGTACTATACCTCATCCCACACGACATCGCATCTGTCGCGGGAGTGCATAAACGTTACGCTTTCACCGCCCCCCACTGCCCCCGCTCTGCAGTGCCGGTGTACGATAAGGAACAGGCTCTCTGGGGAGAAATCCGACCCTGCAGCTCGCCGGCGGGAGCGCGGCTTATTCGAATCGCATGCGGGCCCCGGATGTGCTGGAGGAGGGGAGTTGGACGGTGGAGTGTGCGGTTAATGTGAGATGGTGGGGTTTCTCTTTTTTAACAGGTGGTTTTGGCGCTGCTAGTCTTACAGTGGTTGCTATTGATGTATTAGGGTTTTCCGAGGTGAGGCTCAACGCGAAACCCTGCGCTTGTAATTGCTTCCGGTCGTGCGATGTCATTTAGTTCCTGTATCACCTGTCGTAAGGGGTTCTCAGCGGTGGGGACTTCGGCACCATTTCCCCTCTTGGAATTGGTATGATAGTTAGTCTATCATACATATCATACTTGCATCTCTTTCCCCTTTCCTTTTCCTCCCTCCGTCCTAGATAACGATGGTAGACACTTGCACCGGCAGGCGGTAGAATAATAAACGAATGACCAACCCTGCATATGATAGCACCAATATTAGGTTATCGTTTCCAACGCCATTCTGCCAGCCCAATGTTCCAATGTTACGGCGCAGTGCAATGCTGCTCGGGGGTCTAATCGTAAATTAACTTCCGTAGTCGCCAAGCCATGTATGAAAAAATCGAAAGTAAGAGAAACGAGGCAAAGAACCAGTGGTCAACTTTGTGGCATGCCACCAAAAAAGTAGACTAAAGCACAAGGCATACTCTCCACTCTCCTACTCTGCCCAGCTATCTCTAGCAACGCCTACATAATGGAAGGAAATTAGTAAAGCTTCCAGCCAATAATGACAAGAAAACCCACCCCCCGAAGCCTTGTCCGCCCCAGGACCCTTCCCAAGCGTAATCTGCCTGCGCACCAGCGCTTCCTGTTCCTCCCACGCCCGAGCCTTCTGTCTCGGCCTCACTATCCCCACCACAACCCCAAACCTCAATCTCCTCTATTTCGAAAACGTCCCGAGTGTAGTAATCTTCGTCTCCGGTGCTATTGTAGGCGCCGCCACCCCCCGTGTTCTGAAAAATGCCATACTCGAGTGAGTGGCCAAACGTCAACGACACAGGGCCGAGATTGAGGTAGCTTTGGCTGCAGTGGTTTTTAAGTTTCTGCATTGGCGAGCCGAACCCTATGCCATCGTCTTTATTAAAGTAAGCATACTCTGTGGAAGCCCCAGACGCGTGGAATACCTCGTGCACAGGTTCCAGCTGGAAGATCAAAGACTCGGCGTCGCCGAAGCAATCTATGCAGTTGTCAATGCCGGCACAGAACGGAGAACCTAAGATTAGTTTTGCCAAACCCTTGTGTGAATGTTTCCACGGGACATTTAGGAATACACCGAAGACTAGTCTTCCAGTACGGGTGCCCAAAGGTGAGAGGTATTTCTTTGACGGTATGCGGTCCAGGAAGGCTTGTTGAGCGTGGGTTTCTACGGGGAAGGGGATGCGTATTCCCGAGACAAGGAGGAGGGTTGGGGCAGCCCATTTTAGTACTTTGGTCTCTACGGAGCCCATGCTGAAGCCTGTCTCTGAGCCCGCATATAGGAGCCGGAGTCGATGCCAGAGGTGGGTGCCGGGGATGAAGAAAGAGATTTGGCCGAGGAGATTGAGGTCCATTATTTGGCATTCGGTGGAGAGTAGCGGAATTGGTGGCCCAGAGTTATTGGAGGGTGTGGCTATAGACATGTCGACATTTTTGCTGAAGAGGAGGTGCTCGAAGAGGGGTTCTAGTGGAGTGAACATGTATGGCTATGCGGGTTAGATTTCGTAACCGCGAGCAGTTAGAATAATGCAATAGGAAGCAAACCAATGATTTCTTGATCGTTGGTTTAAAGTCGCTATATAGCACCCCTTTCTCATCTTTGCACCTGAACCCTCGGAGAATGCACTCTCCAACACCACGCACCCCCGTGAGAGCATCAGGTGTAAGTCTATCCGAGAAATCTGCTACGGGCTGGCTAGGCCTCAGGGGAGCAATCGCTAGTAAGAAAGCAATCAATTTCCTCATGATATCCAGTGGAATACGTGCATGGTGAATATTCAACTTCTCAGCATGCCCAAAAGCTTCAATTGCGTCCAGCGCGTCCAAAGCGGCAAGCGAAAGGTCATCTTCATCTTCATCTTCACCCCCTTCGCCCTCTTTGTCCTCTAACGAAACGTCCACGTCTACCTCGTTCCCTTTCTCCTTCCCCATCCCACCATTACCCCCTCCCTCCTGGTGAACCCCCCGATCATAAACCGCTAAAGACCTAAACAACAACCTCAATGAATCAGGCCTCCTCCGAATAACACTCTTGTACCTGCCGGTTAGGATAACCACAACCTTCACCAACGCCTCAAAGTCTAGCACTACTGGGGCGAGACTCGGAAACGGGAACGCCCCGATATAAGACGCGGCACAGAACAGTATCGCTCCCACCTCTAGGCAGTCCGGGATTGCCAGGAACTTGATCAGAGTATCCTCGCTCCAGTACAAGAGCCCGGCGCGGCTGGTCTTAGACTTATGCACGTCCGCTAGCGTACGGAAGTTGTCCTTGAACGAGTAGAGCTCTACGCCGCTGAAGCTCTGGTCGGCAAAGCGCTGTGCAAGGCAGCGGGAGAGTTCCTCTGCTGGTTTGGCGGATGGTTTGGGTTATTCAAGGTGACTCGGCAATAAGAAGAATTTTTAATTGGATTCTGAGGATGTAGAAGGGGCAGACAAACCGGAAGGTTGAGCGGGCTGTTTGGAAGAATGTGCTTGGCCCATTTTGGCTTATCTGGGAGTGCTTGGCAAAAGCTATTCTAGAAAATGTGCTGATGGAGTGTCAATGAAGTTATTGGAGGTCTGACAATTGAGCTTTGGATGATCTCCTACGAGTACAGGCAGTATTGTAGCCCAACCCTAACCCACATTACTTACATAATATTATTATGGCTCTAGTATCGGAAGCCTGTCACTGTGTATCACTCAATGTTCACACCGGTATTAACTTGCACTGCACTGCACGAAGGATAGATATCTTTCTGGGATTTACCCAGTCCATCCCTATAAAATCTTCTACCGTAAATATGGAAAACAGAAATGACAACCCAAAAACATCTATCTATAAACTAACGCCATCCAACTTTTCAGCAATGGGTCTCATGAACTTTTTGTATACCGAATTCTCAGTCTCGTCGACGAAAGGGTATTTGAGGTTAAAGAGGAAGGTTTCCAAGTCCTCGCGTTTGCCAGATGGGACTTGGATTCCTGCAAGAACCCTTCCAATATCTGTTTGCAAGGTTGGATCAGTGTGCAATTCCTACAAAGGATCTAATGGGAAAATACCTCCACCTTGGTTCCTGTAATGGAAGAGGGAGATATTAAAGTCGGGATGTAAAGACCTTAGAAACTTCTCGAGGGCGCCGGGGCGCTCAGGGAACTCTACATTCAAACGTTAGCATGGTTCAATATCAACCCCAATATTACCACAAACCCACCAAACCTATATATCCTCTCCTCGGAATCACACCCATCAGGCAATCTCCCACCAATAAGATACCGAACATGCGACTTCGCTATCTCGTTATCGCTGATATCCTCAGCATAACAGCCCTTCTCTCTAAGAAGGCCCAATACGCTGGGAATCTCAGAGGCACGGTCCTGAACAATAATAGACATGAAAATGGACGCCGATTTGGAATCTCCAAAACGGTAGGAGAACTCGGTAACTGAGCGAGGAAGGACGCAATGCATCATCTCGAGAAAGGATTTCGGCTTCTCAGGGATCACAATGGATAGCAAAACCTCCTTGCCTTCTCCAAGTCTTGCTCTCTCGGCCACAAAGCGGAGGCGATCAAAGTCCATATTAGCCCCAGACAAAATAGCACAGAATGTATCATTCTCATCAGTCGGGCGGTTGACAGTGACATATTTCTTTAATCCAGCCAATGCAAGAGCGCCAGCCGGTTCTACGATCGAGCGGGTATCTTTCGCACCGTTAGAAATGTAACCTGCTCAAACTCAAGTGTGCAACCCTACCAACAAACACATCCTTAATAGCAGCGCAAATCTCATCAGTGGAGATCTCGATGATCTCATCAACACACTCCTTACAAATCCTAAAGGTCTCCCTCCCCACAACCTTCACCGCAGCTCCATCTGCAAACAACCCCACCTCTTTCAAGGTAATCCTCTCACCAGCCCTTAGCGAGGCGACCATAGCGTTCGCATCAAGAGTCTCAACACCGATTACCTTAACATGTGGCGCCAACCTCTTGATATAGACACCCACACCAGCAATAAGCCCGCCACCACCAACACAGCAGAAAACCGCCTTGAGGTTCTCGAGATTGCACTGACGCAACAACTCCATACCGATAGTCCCCTGCCCAGCAATCACGTACGGGTCGTCGAACGGCGCAACATTGGTGAGTCCGTACTTCACTTCCAGGCTCTTGCAGTGCGCTTTCGCTGCGTCAAAATCGTTGCCATGAAGTACTACGCTAGAACCCAGCCTACTCACATTCTGGTGCTTAATGTCTGGTGTCGCGGTAGGCATAACTATGGTGGCAGGAATACCGAGGTGTTTAGCAGCGTAGGCGACGCCTTGTGCATGGTTTCCTGTAATCGAGTGCTGCGATTAGCGATGGTTAATGAAAGGAGATAGATATTGGAATGAGGGGGCAAACCAGCAGAGCAAGCAATAACACCCTTCCATCTCTCCTCGGCTGGTAGATGAGCCATCTTATTATAAGCTCCGCGAAGCTTAAAGCTGAATACTGGCTGCAAATCCTCCCGTTTGAGAATAACCCTACACCCCAGCGCAGCACTGGTATTCGTAGCAGGCGTAACGGGAGTCTCTTTGACAACATCGTAAACTCTCGATGTAAGAATCAAACGTAAGTACTGTTTTTGCACCCATCTCGCCATTTAGCTCTAATTCAAAGACTAGACGAAACGAGAAAAAAAGTACCAAGCAAATTGGCTTACATCTGGGTTCCCATCTTCATGTTTAAAACCCAAAGGAACGAATGAAACTGGACTATTCCTCCCACTTCCTTTTTCGTGGACGTTTGAAGAGTACTCCGTCAGTGCATTTACAGTGAGACCGTTAGAAGTAGTGTCCATTGTTGATGAAGCGAAATGTGACAACACCAGCAACAACGGCACAGGAAAAAAACTGTCGGCAGTGGAGAGCAAGAGGGAAAAAAGGTTGTCGTAATGGTTGGTTAAAGTGGCTAAAAGTGGCGGGAGGAAATTGTTATGGTGCGTCTCGCTACGAAGCGAACTCGCAATACACAAGTGGCCCGATTGAAATCAGAAGGACCTGCTTGGGACTAGGGCATGTTGAGAAACAATTAACATCATACGGTAACAATTCCAATGACATCCGCATCACCCACCCCTAATGCCATGAGTGTTACTATGATTCTGCTGCTTCGACAGTACAATTTTGGTGTGTCGACAGTTGTCGGTCATGCCTGCTACACATTGTGGAATCGGATTGGGCCAAAGACTCTCTGTGCCACCAAGAGCTGACATCTTGGCATTAAATTGGCACGCAAAGTGGAGCTTTCCGAAGACTGGAGAGACAATTGGTATTCCAATGCAAACGGCCTATTGTGTTATCCACAGAGCAAAGGTTTTCAATTCCATAATCAAATTTGATAGTACCGTCTAACATATCATAAAATCAAGCTGCTAATTTCACAGACATCAATGATCTTCTATCCTGCCTGGTGGATATGCCTGGTTATAGGAGAAAGCAATGGTTTCTAGAAGGTTTTTTCCAAAATCCAATGCCCTGTGAGAACAATCCTCACTGGATGAAGAGTACTGGCAAATGTCCTTCCCAGACATAGCAAAAGAGTTGGATATTGTTGCCATACAATTAGTACTTGAAAGTGTATTCTATATCCATCACAATATCTTCCAAAGGAGGCAGATCCATGTCAGCAAAAATAAATATCTGCATTCAGTGTGTCCTGTGCATTTAATCCACAGAATGCTGGAAAGATAATTCCAATCTATGATGCAATTACCCATAGCAACCAATGTCAGGATATAAGAAGGTGCAACAGGATGTAATAGGATACAACAGAACATTACTAAATGTAGTAACCAATATTACAATACTACCATTTAAACACAGAATTTGTAGAACACACTCAATATAAAGCACAACTTATACCTAGGTTATTGCAAAATAAGTTTTAATTTAACAATTTAAGATTTATCTTTATGGACACAAGAATACAAAAATAGAGCTACAATATAGGAGTTATACAAAGTCTAATAATGATAACAGGCTGTATTTCTACCAATATTGATGCCTAGTAGTAATTTAATATACTTTGGGAAGGCTGGTATCAAGTAGATTACTGCTATAATTTCACAGATATGACAGGATTTCATACATGACTTGATTATAAGTTATAAGTCATAGGTCTTGTGCATATGACTCACTTGAGTTATATGATTTGTTGATATTATGATTTGTTATGTTTTGCACATGACGCAATTATAGGTGACGGATCTTATGCTAAGGACTTGCTTGAGTCCAATGACATGTTTATGTTATGATTTGAGCTTAGATAAGTTAAAACCTGACTATTGGACCTTAACTATAAAATATTTATTTTTGCTTAACCATATAACTAGCTATGTAAAGTAGGTATGCAGTAGCTCAAAAGATATTTTAGAACTCTAGATGACCTCTGTGGCATGTTTTTTGTCCAAAAAACTGAAAGTTCCTTCTATGCACTTTTTATAAATGAAAAATTACTTTTGCTTTTAGTTGTAACAATCCTGGTTCAGATAGTTAGTTCATAGTGATGGGAAATGATACATATCTTCTTCACTTCTTCTTGTCCTATATGATAGCTCTTAGGCCTACACCTACTTTACTAATAGTACAAAACCATTAACTTCTATTTGTAATTCCTATTGTAAGCTTTCTCTAACTCTACTTTTCGTAAAGCCTTCTCATTGTAAACAGTAATAAAGGTCGTGATAATAATAAAGAGCGTAAATGCATTTTATATTCGTAAAGACATAAATAATAAGTAGGAAAAGTCCTTAGAAGTCAATCTAATTTTATTTAAACTTGTGCATCTAACACTGATATACAACAAGTACCTGCAGGCACAGGGATACTGCTAACTAGTATACTGCTAATCCTTAGCTAACTAAGCCTACAGCCCCTCATCCACTATTCCCAAGTTATTCCCACTCGAGAACTAATTACAAGACCATCAAACAACCTAGTGCCCACCCTGGTCTGAGTCCATAGCTTCTCTTGTATCAGGCCAACCAGCACTGAGTGTCACTGAAGCTAAACAAAAGACCAACCCAAGTAGGTTCTTTGTCCAACAAGGATAAAATCACTACTGCTCAGTCTGAATACTGTCCAGCATTCCTATTCAACACAAAAGAAAATCAAAACAATCTAACTCCCGGGTGGCATGATGGTAGGGAGGGGGGGAGCAACATGTCTACCTCTGGTACCTGTATCCCAGGCCATCGACCATGGGAACCCAGTTTGTCCAGTTACCTCTGTAGAGCTTGCTGGTGAGGAGCACTTATACCTGCTACTTGTGACCAAACAAAATGCCATAAACAGAGAAAAGTCATAGGGGTTGTAACTGACTAATGCGGTCAGTAGAGTCTATCTGCCACTCATGGTACCTTGCCCCCTCCTGCCATACCCGTAATCCCAATAAATGAAGCCAAACTAACCCTGCAATACTCAGTGCACAAGCCCCAAATTAGTCCAACCAGGTAGTTGCAACCCACCATCCACACAGATGGCCATCAGCTAGCAGGCCTGCCCTGAAGCATTACAACACTCAAGAGTGTAATTTTATCAGTCTAAGCCATGTTGGAAACACTTAATTAGACCCCACCCAACCTGACGTGAACCTGACCAGTACTTGCAGGCTATTCTCTCCCATCAAATAGCCCTCCCCAAGCTCCATACACCAGATGCCACAGGACATGTCCAGCTCCCTCAGCTCCTCAGACGCATCTACGGTCTAACAGCTACAGGACAACTTGTACTAGACCCCAACAGGCTGCCACTAGGCTTAGCTATAATAACAGAGCCCCAACCTCCAATAATCTGTAGCTAAGGCAGCTAACCAGCCATTGCCAGGAGCCAGAAAGGTGGTAGCACTGATATGCGGAGATACTAGTACCAGCCACACCATCCAACCCTGCTGAACCGAAATCCAACCAAGCTAGGAAATAGCAATTGTCTCCCGACGGCTAAGTCTGCATCCTTTTTCTGCAATATCAAAGCTGGCTTGTGCTAATGTACTAAGTTCCCCTAAATGTGATATCATTTCCATTAAGACCTCATTTGAAACATTTCCAATAAGTGCAAAAACTTAATTAGTTTTCTTGCCAGATGTCTGTGCTTCTATGAGGTGTTTGTAGGCAGGAAGTAATATTTCTTGTACGGAGTGGAGTCGAGTGAAGTGGAGCAGTTGAAATTTGGCAATGATACAGGACAACCTTTTGACAATAAGGAATAAGTCCACAGGTGTGAAATCCAGTCTGAATCTTATTCAATGTCATTTCCTTCTTCCACACCTTTTTTAACAATAACCAAAAAGTGCATTTATGTATTCTTCCTTTTTGGTACTGAGAAAAATCATCTACCACAAGCCCATAAATATGCTGTAGTGGGCTAAAGAAAGCCACGTACTAGGGCTGAAGTAAATGAGTAGAATGAGAGGGGAGACAGAGTAAAAGAATATCATGATCCAAGCAAAACATGTAGAAATTCTAATTGAGATAAGAAGAGTTTCCATTTAAAATAAGAAGCTACTATTGGATAGATAACTGAAGAGGGCATGCAAACTTGATAAAATAAGGAGAAATAAACTCATATCCTAGAGATTTATCAGTCCATTGCTTATTTAAATAAGCTAATAATACATCAGGATTATCAAGACTCACACACCATCTCATACTGTGTCTTGCCTTTTCTTTAAAAATAAGAAATGGAGGTAAAAAACTACCGTCACTACATATGGTTCCCAAGTTGGTAATTAGTTCTCTTTTACCATTATGAGTAACTCTGAGATTTCGTCTCCTCACTTGTATCATAACCTTTGTCTTCACTGTTATTCCCATCTTAAATCCCTTATTATCAATATTGTATGTATGTTGAGGTTCTAAATTATAAACTATGTGAAGGCGATGAAATTTGCGAAAATAGTCTTTAATCTGATTTAGATCAGTAGCATAGGCGTACTGACATTCCCGAGAGGTGCTTAAGAGAGAGGCTATATCCTTGTTATGATTCAGAAAACAGGTCAACCAATTCTTTCCAACTCCTGTATCAATTACCCCCTCTTTCTTCTTTCCCACCAACATCTTAGCCATTCCCTTAACCATATCTAGTCTTAGAGGAAAACCCCAATCGTCAAGCTTCTTAATCCAGTACACAATTGCATTCACCTGCCCTGTGGTCAGGAGTTGCTGTTCAACCTAGACTACTTAGGAGACTTTCTCACCTTTGATCCAGTACCCCAGCATCGATCTAAGGATATCAAGAGCTTGGGCTGTTGCTGTTATTGATAGGTAGTTACCTTTCAGTAATGCTCCAATTGCATCTAGGATCCTCCTTCCCAAAAGGTGCTCCTTTCTGGCTTTCACTCTTCCCATTGCTGTGTTTGCTAATACTTTTTGTTGTAAGTTATATTGGCTTCCACGTTCTGATATGTGGTAGTTGCAACCCCGTACTGTGCCGCCCACTTCGGCATGTCAGCCTGCTTCCCAATTGCGTATGTTATCCTCCTAAGCAGCTCTTTATTGCAAGATGCCAGCGGCAATGCTCCAGTGCAGATTAAGAAGACCCCAATGTTACTGCTCCTGAATGGACCAGCATGGTAGTGTGTGATTATGCCAGGAGTCCCGGGTCCAATACCCGCTACGCCAGCTGAAGCCCCAGCTACTCACCGTGACCAGGACGGCGACCTGAATGCCCAACAACACGTTGAGGCTGACCAGGAAGGAGAACAGAATGCCAAACAATCTGCTGAGGGCCAACAGGAAGGGGACCAGCATGCCGAACAACCTGCTGCATCTGGGAGCGGAGAGAAGGTAGCACAAGAACCTGCACAGTCAGACCCTTGCCAATCAAAAGTTCGAACTGGTTAGTCCAATTCTCCGCCAGCTCTTGGATTCAAGTTTTGACTAACTGACAAAAGA